CAAGTCGCCAAATAGCGCAGCAAATTAAAAACAAATACCTATTCCTTCCAGATTGCGGGATTGTCTTATCTTGAGGTTGGGTTGAGGGGGAGGGGGGGAGGGGGGGGGGCGCGGAGACTCTCTCGCAACATCAGGTAACTTCCCAGGACTTGCCGCCGCCCCACCCCCCCTCCCCCCCCCCCTAAAGTTTATAAACCAAAGCAAAGCTTATAAACCCAAATAGTTTTAAACAATACTATTATCTTATATTGTCTCAGGTTTTTGCATAAAACATAGCAGCGTTTAAGGTGTCGCCACGGACCTGAATTATACGAAGCTGCTTCTATATATCTATCAGATAATTGAATAATGGTAATTATAAGAAACTGTAATATAATGTCTGTTTTCTACATTCAGAAACCCAGGCCCCAGCGCGCCACCTCCTGTTACTTTATAGGGTTTAGGTTTGCTGTTGCGGAACTTAAGTTAAGTTACCATCATAGGTATATTTAGTAACTAATAAGGTTTCCCCAATATACCAACTTAAATTAAACTCCTTAACAGCAACTCAGAGTCAGCTTGGCATATGCTGCGGCCATCAGTGATGCGTTCGCCTCGTTTCGCGTACATACCCACTGCACCTTCGGGTTGTTGACAATGGCATTTACAAGAGGGACAAGGGCACCCCCATGCCCGCCGAAGATATGCGTCACGCCAGCATCCTGAGTTGAGTGGTGTTTTTTTAGGTGGTTGAACCTAGTAAAATACCATTCCTTATATAAAATGCTATATCCCAAAAGGAGGACATAATCTTACTCTATATTGGGTACCATAGTATCCCCAAAGTTGGCACTAGGTTTCACACTTGCGCTTGCTTGCCTGCAGAACCCGCATCTTGCTAGAAGAGCACAGCTAAGAACATCTTACTACATGTATGTACCACAGGGAATTGGTCTAAAGCTGCAGCTACCAACTAGGCAATCTAAATGTATTGTGGGCCTGACTGTGGAGTCTGTCTGGTATCGCTGGTATCAGAAAGTAGTTATGAAGCCATTTGATTTTAGCACAGCTCCACATTTACACCGCAGACTCCTGCCGCAAGTACGACTATGTCAGTACGTTCACAAAGGCTGCCAAACATAGCGCTACAACAAACTCATAAAAATGGATATGCAAAAGCAAATAGTTTCACACGTAAGCGATCGAAAATTAACACCCCAAGTTTGGTCACTGGAGGTGGCCCTGTAGCTTCTGCTTCCTAGTAGGATGTGACCCTGTGTGCGATCAGCACATGAGTAGTGTTTTGGGAGTGGTTGAGCCAAGTAAAGTAAAACTACGAAATACTACCTACACCCAAATCGAGGATTTAATCTTACTCTGGATCCTCCGCAGAAAATTTTAGTAGTTTCCATTTTATTTCCATTATCCATATCCCACCCATATATCTACCAGATTCAGGAAACCTACGAGATGCGGGGGTTTCCCAAAATTAGGGGTACCATTTTGGGGGTCCCTAAAATCAGGATTGTAGTATCTTAGGGTCTATATTGGGGCCCCCCTATTGTCGGAAACTACCATGCAAACGAGGTGCAACCAGCGCGTTGACTACCCATTCCGAGCCTGCACAACTGGCTGGGTTGCTATGAAGGAACTTCCATTAGGTACAAGAATAACACGGAAACGCTACTATTCACTATACAGACATATTATGGCACCTGAATGTAACTTCCTCAACAGCCACCCAGCTGGGGGTGGCCTCATGCTTCAACCTTTGTCAGCTGCATTAAACAATGATCTTGGAAAGGGACTCCAAGCTGGAACGCCTGCATTCTGCCCTTGATTCTGCTCCTTCAGTGGCTCAGATGTGAGCTATAGGCAAAACTCACTAATAGGGGGGTTATGAAAGGGATTGTAAAGGGGACCATTATAGGGGTTACTAAGGGGGAAACCAGGAAGTTACACTGTAGCTGACATGTGTCCAAACCTGGAGGCCAAGCAGCAACTGCAAAGGCTAGGAGGGTGAGCAATTGGTGCAGGCACAGACTCTGCTGGAAGGACGGGATGCTCTTCCATAGAGTCATTGATGAGCCACACTTCCTCTTTGCCACCGCACGTTGCAAGCAAGCAAAACAGAAAAGATTCATGCTGGGTGCCTGGCACAAAATCTGAGGGCGACGGCTTCTGCAGCAAACAAGAAATTCATCAGTGGTGACCAAGACCAAGTCTTCTTGATCAATTCTCTCATCTCATATTATCACGCAGAATCAGGACGGGTCTCCAAGTTGAAGTTTGCCACAATGCTGGAAGAGTCCAGGTGGTACACTTCCTTGACGTCCTGCATCACCCGGGGCAGGAGGCCCTGGAAGCATGGTTCTTCAGTTGAGAGCTGCATTTGGCTGTGCGAGACCTACTTGTAACAAAACTTCAGCACTGGCAGACTGGAAATTCACCCTCCAAAAAAGAAAGACCTGAGGGCCTAGTATGCCTTAAACAGCAGGAGAGTGTATCAGGGGTCTGCACACGTGGGATCTCACCATTCAGGTCGTGTAAGTAGACTTCATTCGGTGTCTGTCTGGTACGTAGACTTTCTTTGCTGCGCCTACTCTTCACAAGCAACCCGGCAGTTGCCTCTTGGGATAATCTGATGGACCCTGCAAGGAAATCAAGGGTGTCCGCCTTAGACCTGAGGGTTCCCATCGAATTTTGCTCACTGGGGGCTAGCACGGAAAAACGCCTATGGAATATATATTTCGTGATTCCCTACCCTGGACCTTTTCTGCAGACCCTTAACATATATCCTGTATAAATCTATGTATATATGTTTCCTCCCTTATTCCCTAATTACCCCCACTAAGCTTGCCGGGAGCATTTTTGGAGCAGTCCTGGGGCCGAACCTCCTGGGCCGTCTTTGCCTTGCAGCTGCGCCGCAAGGTCACCAAGTGCGCATGCAAAGTGAGGGTCTCTGCAGCTCCTGCAATTCAGGGAGTTTTCAGCTGGGTAGTTACCAGGTGGTGGGTAGTTAGCAGGTGGGTAGCCTCACGTAAGGCTTAGAGGGGTGCACTAGGACTATTTAAGGGCTATGTACAGCTTATTAGGGGAAACTACCCACCTCACCTGAAACTTCCTTAGATGCAAGCATTGCCATCAAGGCCCCTTAGGAATGTCAAGTCTAATCATAGTAATAGTACTAGTAGTAATGCTGCTTGGTGGTCCTAGTAGTAGTACTACTAGCGACTATCCGGATAACATAGGGATCATGTTTAAGTTTGGGCCCCTCCCACTAATAGTCACCACAAGAGAAGATGGTAATTATGCTAGGGCCTCTATATATGTATATATATATATCTTCCTGGTATACCACATTAGTGGGTGGGGGGCCAACCCAAATCATATTCCTTTACTCCCTACTAAACTCTAAACCCTAAACCTACTACCCCCCAAGAAGCAAAGCTGACCTCCTCCAGCAGATCCAGAAGCTCCCTTGTACAAGACCTGCGCCGCATTGCAGGTGGAGGTTGGAACGGTCTTATAAGAATAACAGTAACGATAAGGGCGGCTGTCAAAAAGTTATGGCCTCTTTTTGGATCCCTATTATAATACGGCACCTAATACTTAGGGTACCCAAAAAGGGATCATAATTTTGACAGCCACCCATAAGAATAGTAACAGTAACAATAATACAAATAGCAGTAGTACCAAGAACAATAATGAAAGTAATAAGTCTGGGGCATGCCAGCACCTAACCAGCGTGTCAGGTCTATGTATGCACCCACAATACCCACAGTCCACGTTGAAGACCGAAAAGGGTGTAGAATGGCTCCAACGCTCCTCTTTGGGAGGTGTAAGGCGTGGGCCGGCATGTGATTTGCACACACTTCAAGACATGAAGATACGAACCTTCTCGAGCCCGGTGATTCCACGCTTCTCGACCTCCTTCATGTCGCCAACGAAGCCAACGACGACGCAGCTCACATTGTGCTCTACCTTGGCTCATCACCTCGCTCTACCTTCGAGGTGCAGTGGTTGGGCTTCTCAGGAGAACTTGGTCGGAAAGGGATTCAAGACCCCTGCGTGTACTGTAGATCAATGGTCTTTCCCAGAGAGAAGCCGGGGAAATACATGCTGCCTACCTTCAAGTTCATGATTTGTATGTAGCAGGAACTGAAGGAGTCAAGGGGCGTGCGGCGCAAAAGGGTAGTATTTCTCCTTCGAGTCGAAGATATTTTCGTGCTGGGTGGATGGCAGGGCGATGGCCGTGCCTGGCACTTTTTGCCCTCATACTTAGTCCAAGAGAATCACAAGGCATTCCGGGCGCATAAAAATGATAATAATGAAAATACTAATACTCGTACTAGAACTACGAAAGAGTAATAGTAATATTACTAGTACTAGAACTAGTATATATGATTCTGATATAGCAATAGTACGGCCAATAGTACTAGTACTGGTAGTAATAATAATATTAATAGTGGCAAGCAATCATAGTAACAGTAATAGTAATACAGCAGCAATGTGAACTCGGAACTCGGGCGCCTACATACCATGGTAGGGATGCGTGTGGTAAGGGCTTACACTTTTGCCGCAAAGTGACCTACACCTCTTTGGTATAACTCCCAACACATGAGTCGCTTCGGGTTCATTAGGGGCTGGATACTTCGTTAAGGAGGGGAGGCCCGATGACTCGGGTTCGACATGATTCGAGGTAGCTGGTGTTTGCATGAAGAGGCGTAATTCTCAGGTCTACTCTTGTGCCTCCGGCAACGGAGCCAAGATCACTCCCTTCATCATAATGCCCCACCCACGTAAATTGCCAGCCAATAAAATTGTCGGAGCAGAGATGCTTCAGGGTTTAGGGTTTTGAAAATCAAGTACGAACACGGGAGAGACAATGGCCACGATAGCCACCAGGCTGAAGAGAGAACAGCTTGACAAGATACTGGGAGCCCAGGGGTAAGGTTATATTGGGGTAATATTGGGATAGTATTGGGAATAGATTGGGGTAAGATTGGGATAATATTGGGATTATGTTGGGGTAATATTGGAGCAATATTGGGATTATAATTTGACAAGATTAATAGGCAGACAGCCCTTCAATAACGGAAGCTTCTTGGTCTAGCAGTGTAGAGCCCTAAACAGTTACTGTAGCAATATCAGTTTGAAGTTTACTTCCGGCAGCCTATACTATATTTCTATATAAGCAGTTAAACGCCATAATACTGGTAATGATTCAAGCCCCTTATAGTGTGTAGGCTCACCCTGCATGTTAAGCTTTATCGACCCCAGCCCCTCCTCTAACATGGTACCCAAAAAACTCCCATGGAAAAAACATGTCTTTCGAAAAGCGAGCCAATGGGGATTCCGGGGTAGCTTGGAGAGGGCAGGCCCAATCCCTGCCTAACAGCTTCTCGAAGGTCACCATGCCACCAAACGCTGCAGCAGGTGCCCCACTTCGCTTTTCAATCTCAGGGTAAGATACGCAGATGTTGGGCAGTATGGGGGTTGTGTAGGGGTTCCACATGCATTGTAAGAGTCCTCTCTTGCAGGACTGCTTTGAAAAATTTTGCCATGCGGGTACAAAGACCAAAGAAAACCTGCCACCCTGCCAAGAGTGGCTAATGAGCTGTGGGAGCATCTGGCCGGGTCGTACATGCGTGGCGCGGAAGGGAGCACGAACCCTTCGAGAGAAGGAACGTCTTCTCAAGCTGCCAGAAACATGTCCAAAGGTCCACTTCAAGGTGTCTTACCGAACCCGTCCACTCAATATTGAAACCCGCCCACCCGCCTTACCATTAGATGTTGCCAATGTATCGCAACATACCACGAATATTAGAGGGGCAGCGGGCTTATACACTATGCAGGGGGAGTGATCAATCGAGGTGTCCATCCATTGTTAGCCGGCCCACGTTGGAGAACATGTCGTTGACGGCGGACGTCCACGTCATTCCTCTCAATGTCTGACGGCAGGAGAAGCTCAAACCCGCCAGAGCCCCCAGGATTAATCATGGGACTATTTATCTTACAAGCATGGCTATGACTACAACCATTCAACTATTGCCATCACTCCTCCTGAAATGATTCCAAGTCTTGCTACCCTAAACCAGAAACCCTAATCCCCAAACCCTAAACCATGACAGTCGGTTCTGTGGTTCCCCTTTGTTCCTCGAACCCTGATAGAAGTTCAGTCGTGGATAACATTGGGACTCCTCTGAATCAAGGTGGATTGTTAGTCATGGCTTTGCCTTCTTCAGGCTACTTAAAACCCCACGATGCGTGGCTCCCAGATACAGCTTCCCCCTATATTGAAACGCAGCATACCCCCCTTGTCCATTTCATTCTCCAGTTGACTACCCACGTTGGTGATGCTATGTGAATTCCTTCAGGGAAGCCAAGCATTCGCCCTGACAAGTGCTCCTCCAAGCAGTGTCGTTGCGATGAGATCAGGCGTGGCATTTGCAGGCCCTTGCAGCAGATTCCAGTATAGACCCATAACAAACATAAGAATTCTCTAGGGTTATGCTACAATCAAAATGAAAATTATGTTCTAAGGAGGCTACAGCAAATATTTTTAGGATTCCCATCTTTAGGGTGGGCTTTCAGGATTCAGCACTTTCATGGCTTGGGGTGTTGAGGGCGGCGGGTGATGCCCAAGCTCCCCAGAGCGTGTCCTTCCCTTGTCTGGGCAGAAATACCGCAGGAGCCACTCAATTCAGGCCAGAACTAGTAGCATGTATAGACAGACTGCCCCCCCACCCTGTAATAGTGACTATAAGGGATAGTAGTAACTCTATTAGGGTCCTTTCATATTCCTTTTATGCAGAGGCTGACTGCAACCATGCGTCCCACAAGCCCTGCTGCTTCACAGCGCATGTAGGGGCCATAGACAGTCTTGTAGAACTCCGCGCCTTGCCCCAGCAGAGACTGGTCATTCGGAAGCGTGGAGTCATCATAGGTAGGGGTTGTATAGGGATTATATAAGGGTTATACAGGGGCTATATAGGGATTATATAGGGGTTATATAGGAACTATATAGGGGTTGTATTATGATTATATATATATAGGGATTATATGCCATCGACGGGAATGATTCCAATGGCCGAGGAATCACGAATAACAATAAAACAGTTGCACGGGCGAAGAGGATGAAGAGGGGAGCAGGTGGAAGAGGAGGAGGCATCGCACTTGTGATTTGCGATCACGTTTGTGGACTAATCCTATATCCCACCCTGAAAGCCCAACCTGTCAACACTGTAGCATCAACTGGACAGTGAAAAGCTCATCGGCATGTGAAAAACAGGATTTCTGCTTTGGGACATATGTCTAACTTTGTGGAGGGAAGAGCTCATGGTAGGAAATACTCATATTGCCTCACTTGTATATCTGGCGTGCCGCGGGGTGACAGAGGCTGGTCGGAGCAACAAAGCCGCTACGGGGCATGACGGAAAGGGGCCACCCCATGCAGTGTTGTTCAAAATTGGGGTGCCCTGAGGAACCTTATGGATATATGGGGTCGTACGGAGATTGCGACTGTCCATTGAGAATTCTATGGAGATACGGCCTAGGACCACAGAACGTCCTCAGTGCCAAGGCTCTCCCAGTTCGCGTGGATCTCACATATGCTGTGCCGTTGAAGGCCTTAGTTCCCATCAGTCATTGTCCTGCCTCCTGCCTTGCTGCGCATACCCCTAGATGCCCAAACCCTGACACTCCCAGGGCGCTGAGAACCCAACCCCGCCCCATATAGGGGCCCATATCCGGGGACTTTCACCCAAAGACTACACAAAATCCCTATTAGTATTGCAAGGACACCGAGCGAAGTGCCGATCTTTGGGAAACCTCTGATTTCAGAACCACCCTAAACCCTGAACCCCTAAACCCCTGAACCCTAAACCCCTAAACCCCCAATAGTAGTTTCCATTGTATTTTCCATTATCCCAGTATGACCCCTATATACCCCTATATATCCCTTATATCACCCTTATATAACCACTATATAACCCGGGTTTTCTGTGAGCACTGAGGCACCACCATCTCCCCATGGCCTCCTTCATCTCCCGCTGGCGCAGTGGTGCCTCCAACAGGGCTTTGGTGCTTTGTGCTTTAAGGAGTATATGGTGATTATATAAGGCTACATGAGGAGAAAAAAAAGGGGTTGAGATGGGTTGAGGGTTTAGGGATTTAGGGTTGGGGGTTTTATGAGGATGGCAGGGATACTACTCTAATCTCCCAACAATGAGGAATCAAATGGAAAAGAATATGGAAATGACATTGAAATTGTGGGGGGCTGATAGCGGGTTTGCCCGCCGTTAGCAGAGAACGAAGGGATGGAGAAGAAATTGGACACTACTATAGTATTGGGGATTAAATAGGGACTACTCTACGGATTCATTCCTTGCTAACCCGCCTCTATAAACCCCAGTTCAGGTTTCATGTTCCATGTTCTTTTGCGTGTGATTCTCCATTCTTGGGGCGACGTCCCTGCTTAATTCCTACATAGCCCCACATAAAATCTATGAAAATCCCTCTATACCCCCATATAACCATGAAAGGTTCAAGACTTCAGGGCTTCGGTTTAGAGGCCTATAGGGGTTTAAGTTAAAGCTTTCAGGGCTTTGGATTTGGGGGGGGTAGGGCTCATACGGAGGTTTCCCAGGATGTAGGGATATATGGGAGATTACACAGGTACGGCAGGGGTCCCGGAAGGACTAGAGAGAGTATTTTCAGAACTCCTGGCCAATATAGCGATTTATGTGTGCACATATGTATATATATATGTATATACATATGTGTGTATGTGTATATATATATGTATATGCATATGTATATGTATATATATATATACACTGTACACGTATATACAGAGCCCAGGTCTCCCTCTACAGAAAAGGACAACAGTTTTGCAAGCTTGCTTACGTGCGACTATATGCATGGCAGAGCTCTCATGAGGAAGTGGTAGCAAAACGAAACGCCGAGGTGGCAGTAGTTAACTCGTCACGCATGTGTGCGTGGAGGGGGATTTGCGGTCCAAGATTGAAGCTGGCAGATCATCTCAAGCTAAGCAATCAAAAATGCACTGGCACGGAAGTTCTGGCACTCGCGTGAAGATTGCATGGATGCTGATGAAGACATCTTACCCTGAACCCTTGATAACAACTGGACTTGCTGAGCGCCACCCTGAACCCCAAACCCAGTTCATTGGGCCCCCACCGGCTTCGAAAGCATAGCGGACTGCCCCGACATCAATGGTCTGCGAGACCTGGCCGGGTAGGATTGTCAAAGTAAAGCATGAACGCCTGTTCGTAAGTGCAAGGTTTTCCTCAAAAACTCCAAGTTAGAGCGCTAATCGGGTGAAACTTGCTGAGAGAAAATCTATGAGCATTGCCGCATCCGGAGCCCCGTGCCTTTGCAGTATCAGGGTTCCCCTCGATGACCCACTGCACGTCGCCTGAGGCAGTGTGCTGCTTAAGTTTTTGCCAGACTGAACGAACTATCTCAGAAATGCACTCCAGCGCCGTAATAATCATCTTCATCAACACCTGCAGGAAAGCTCTGATCTTTCGCTGTTCCTGTCAGTGGGGCCTGTAGATGCCTTAAGATGCCCCGGCCAAAGCATGCCTCCAGCGCGCACACGTCAACCAGCCCTCTCTCTCAGAAAAGGCACTGCGCCAGCATCCTTGCAGCCCGGGTACCGTACCAGGTCACTTTGCCCCTGATCTCGCCGTCCCCTGCTGCAGGATTTTCTGTTCGTTTTCTGTTCGATAAACGAGGCGGAGAACACGCAGTCAGTCGTGGTAGGCCGGAGGAATGCGGTACACAGGGTGGTCTACGCACTGAGTGGGTGCAGGAACATGCAGGGTTTGACATTGGACTGTTTGAAAGTTGAAAGGGTACACCTGACCATCAACCATCGGGATTTCTTATGCAAACAATCTTTGAAAATATCCTGCCCTAGTCCGTTAGCATCCCCGCAAGACCTCAATAATCTCGATGCTTTCAATAGAATCCCTAATCATAGGGCCCTACAGGGCCTAAAAGATCCTTCCATGCCGAGATCTGGGGCCTGCTGCTTTCGGAACTGAGTAGTGTATGGTGTCACAGTCCAGGCCGCCATCTCTACAGGAACGGCGGAAATCCTGGGTTGGCAAGGCCAAACATGGTGGTTTCTTAAAAGTAGGTACTCCCATTTTTCCGACCCCCATAATGAAAAATATGGTATATTGGGGTCTGTATTGGGGTCCCCTTGTTTTGGGAAACTACCCATGGTAATAAGCACAGCAGCATTGCAAACTCATGGCGAGCATGCTGACCATGGCCGCAAACAGCTGCAGCTAGCATTTCAAGTCAGCATGTTTCCAAACCGTAGGCCAGAAAGCAGGGGTTGAGAACAAAAGGATTGTTTGATTAGTACCTGTCGTCTGCCACAGTGATAGCAAGAGCCTACCATCACAAGAGTCGCAGTCGTAGATCCATAGGCTGTGTAGGAGGACGGAAATGGTGGTTGTGATGGTGGTAGTGTTGGAGGCGGCTGTGCTGGTGCCACTGGATGACTACTAGCTATGAAATCAAAAGTAAAAGCGTGTCCTGCAACAATAACAAGCAGCAGAAATTACAATTTACAATGCGAACGAACTTGCCTAGAATGACAGTAGCAATAAGGCTGGTGCTAAAAACATGGAACAACAGCTGGTAATACTGCTAACAACAAACTGCCAGCACGATACTGGATCTCGTGGTAAGTACCTCGGAGGAACAGAAACACGCGTGAAAAAAACAAGGAAAGTTTACGCCAACAACCTCGGCAGGCATGAGCTCCCCTTTATTTCAATCCCCTCACATAAACAATAAGAGGTCCCTAAAAAAACAGTTTAGAATCCGTCTGGATTATGTAGGGGTTATATGAAGGCTCGGCCCCACCCACGAACACTGGCGGTAATGATACACCTATAGATCTTTATATGCATACATATGTATATACCTCTCTCTCTCTCTCTATACGTTAACCGATTGTATGCCACTCTAAACCGTACAGCAGCCCTAAACCTTGGGTCATTCCCCGGGACATTAACTGTCATCAAAGAAGTTTTAGTAAGGGGCTAGTAAAACTCCTAGCATTATGGCAACCGCCGCTGTAGGAGGAAATAGCCCTAGATACCAAACCATAAACCATTAAACCCAAAACCCTCAAACCTTAAACCCTAAACTCTAAACCCTGCCAGGCATCTGCAAGATACCCGCCCGAAGCAGGCTGCAAGAGACCCAGCTTTGGTACCTGCCAGCCAGGCATTGCCACTTGGTTTCCCCAAATGGATACTTGACGTCATATAGGGACTATATGAGGGATTCTAGGGATGTATATAAGGTAATATACATGGTTTTGTCGGGATAATAACCCAAAAGTGGAGAGTCAAATAAAAAGAAATTGGAAAACAAAATGGAAGTTGGCGTATCTAGTTCTGAAGGGCACAGAGGATTATGCGGGGGTGCCATGAATAGGGGGGCCCAAGATCAACTCCAAAATACAATGATTTCTCTAGGGGTTCCCAACAAGAGAACCCCCTATTCATTCTTGGCAACCGGCTGATTGTTGGTAACATAAAACAAAAACTGCACGCCATTGTTCCATCTGAAGCAGCGGCCCCCCACAAAAGTCCCCAACAGTCCAAGGACCCGGCAGGCAAACATGAGCCAATACCACTCTCAAACCTTGCCTCTTGCGGTTTAGAGTTTAGCTAGTACGAATGAAGGAGAGCCATGGAAGGCCCTTTTAATAAATCTTACGAAATCTCCGCCCAAAACCTTGTAGTAGCTCCAATAGGTTAGGTGATTCTCTCTTACAAGAACAGTTACCGCAGTGGATAATTGGAGTCATCTTTGCCCCTTAAGATCCCTTCAAGAAACAGTTGCTTACTGTAAACCGTAAACCCCAACACCTAAACCGAGCAACCCAACCAATAGGCCATTCCTTCACTCCATGCTAACGGAGACAAGACCCAGCACCAAAGCCTCTGTAGAGTGGCAGATTCCTGGATAAGCAGGGCTCTAAGGGATTTTCCAAATTTGTGTAAAGGGTCAGTCATATAGGCATCACACGGGCTATATGGGGTTATAGAGGGACAACGGAAAAGAAAATGGACGGTACTATGTAGGGATTAGTGGTTCGGGATACTACCCCCAACAATAGAGAATCACATGGAAAATGATATGGCAAATTAAGATGATGTAGTGGTTATAATCATTAAGATTTTCATGCTTGAGGTTCCCTTCATGGGGTCCCCATCATGAGGATTTCAATCCAGAGGGTCCCACCTAGTTCTGGAGACCCCACATGGACTTCAATCTGTGCTCCGTTCTTGGACTGCTTTGGAGATTGAACGGATTTTGCCCCTAAACCCCAAACCCTAAGCCAGTAATACAGAGCAAGGTATTAACACATGAGGAGATTAAGGGGCAGAGAGCTTCCCGTGCATGAATCCTTACCCCCCCGGATTGTTAGAAATCCTGGACAAGAGCATGGAAGCTACTATAATATATGGTGGTTATATGGGGAGATGAATCCTTAGGTCCTTACCCCCCGCGGGTTGAAAGGAATAATGGACTAGAACATGGAAGCTACTATAGTATACGGGGATTATACGGGGATAATGGAAAAGAAAATGGAAATCTAAATTCAAACATCCTGGGGTCTAAGGCATGAAGGCTTCTGAGAAGGGGTCCCTCGTAATTAGGAGGCTGGATCTTCTTCTTGCGCACATCAGCCATAAAAGGATTCTCATGGGAACCTCAAACAGTGAACCTTAAGAATATAGCAGGAATGTAATGGAATCTAAGGACCCTGGTAGGCATATTCCTATTATATTCCTACTATATTCTTGGGGTTCCGTGTTTGGGGTTCCCAGTAAAGTCCCTTTACTCGAAAGAGTCTACACGCCCCATCTTGTAATTACGTCCTACTGTTATTGAAAGTGACAGCGGCAGATAACCCTCGAGCCCCTTTCCCGAAGACATCAAAAGACGTGTTAAAATTCGTATGCCAGGCAATGCAAGCCCTATCGTGGGCCGGTCTTGCTTCCTGATCCATTGCATCGGGATATAACCCCACTTAAGTAGATAGAATATGGGGGATACGGGGATCTTATTATAATATACGCAGAGCCATATCTATCTACAGTACTTAAGGGTGCCTATAGAGGGAAATCTCGTAATGTTCCGTAGAACCCCCAGACGTGCTAACATGCGAAAACCAACTTTGTCCCCCTAAACAGTATAAATGGAGCAACCCTGTTGCTGAAGAACCCTATACCCATAGACTTGGCTGCTGTTAAGGAACCTAAACTAAATTACCACAATAATAAACAAAACGTTTTCCTTATTATAATAACCTTAATTCAAGTTTCTTAACAGCAACCCAGTAGAAGCCCAGCCTCTCCCACGCTTCGGAACAGGGTCTGGCATGGCGACTGCGGCCACCCTAGGACACGCCCAGCTCTGGATGGACGCCAGCAGCAAAAGTCACTAGACTCTGAGTACTGGGCTTGTGAACTAAGGATTTTGTCAGGGTGGCTGGGGGCTTAGGATCTGGCGACTTCATAGGGGCGGGTTCGATCTCATCTTGTTATGCTAAATTCAGTTACAGTTCGCATGGGAAGCTTGACGAAGGACTGGGTGGATGTCTGCCAGGACTTGAGCCCAGTCGTGATGCAGGAGCTTGCTTGATCAGATACGAAAGCAGATAGCGATTGCTGCACGTAGCACAGATTGGGGGAAAACAAGCCGCCAAGAAGGGGGCGAGCACGGATAGCATGGAGAGGGACTCTTTTCTTGCGGGGCTACGCAACCGCCAGATCTTGAATTCCACTGCATAGCGGGGCACTGGTGGCTGGAAGCTACTTAGCCGGAGGCCAAACTTGAAAACGCGCAGATGCTAAGCGAAACATGACACATGCCCATACATCATCATTAGTACCCCTCCTTCCGTAGCATCCACGGGTCTGTGGCCTCCCGTTGCTCCCCCCACCATCTCGGCTCATACGGATCGTATCGATCTGGCACCGATGCCTTGAACGTCCCGCACTGTGGCAGGCAGCTGGGCCCATAATGTCCCAGCCATGTGAATTCAACATGCAACAACAGTGGAACTTGGAACCAAGGAGGGATTGAAATGTACGGTTCTCATCGCCAGACATTCAAACTCTTGCCTGTGCTGAGCACCACTTCTGCCAACTTGCAGCCTCTCATGATCCCATCCATCTCGTGCAGGTAGGCAGGCTTGGCAGAGTGCGCAAGTGTCTATGCCTTTTCATGCTCTATACAGCTCAAAACTGGATTCACAGACCTTGTGTCTGACTTCAAATCTCTGCAACCTGACTCTTTGCGTCTGTGACTGTGCTGAAGATACAGCCTTCCGATTGGAGGCTTTGCAGCCAGGCAGCTTTGGAAAGGATGGTGCCGTGGAGCAAGAGTTCCGGCACGACTAGGCGGACATCGCAGTCTGCCTCCTTCACTTCTTTGGCTGCCTTTGCAAGGCTGTCAGACCCATCAACGTCGATGCGGGTCACATGCTCCAAGGAGATGATGATCCTGTTTGGCTTCTTGGTCAGCAGTGCTTGTACACGGGACAAGTGCTTGCTGGCGCAAAGGAAGGTCACTGAACCCATCGGCTCGTACAGGACCTCTTGGAAGGTCTCATGCTTGTGCAAAACATTGCTGTGCTCCTTTGGAGCCCTGCCACAAGCAACAGCCTCGACCAGTTGCCGCAAACGCTTCAGCGGTGATGGCTTGACGGCTAAGTTTGCACCATGATCGAAGCTAGCTGTGGCCCAATGAGAAAGAGCAGGATTTTGCTGACTGCGAGGTGTGCCAGTGTCGCTTACAGAAACCTCATCCTTGTCCAGGGTTACTCGCGACTCCGCCCGGGCAGTTTCTGCAGCATCCCTTAGCAGTGCCACAACCATGCCTACAATGAGGCCATAGACGGGGTCCACAAAGACGCAGATCACGGTTGTCAGCACAAGAAGGAAGCAACTTCTCCTGTCGGTCCGCCAAAGAGTGGCAATGTAGTGCACCGGCGCCATACGAATGGAAGCAAATACAAGCAAGGCAGCCACCGCAGCTTGGGGCAAGTACGAGAAGACAGGCATGGCCACCACAAAGATCAGGAAGACTGCAATGGCATTGATCATTTGCGAAAGCCTGTGCGTTGCTCCCAGCTGCACGTTCAGAGAAGTGCGAACAAACACTCCAGTAGGTGGCAATGCCCCAACTGCCCCGCATACGGCGTGGCACACCATCAAACCGAAAGTCTCACGACTGCTCTCAAAGGGGTAGTTCATCCTTTGCTCTGCAATCTTAGCTGAAATCAAGGTCTCCAAGATGGCCACGAAAGCAACGCCAAAAGCGGTGCGGATCAGGCCAAACAAGTCGTCACCTGCAAAATCCGACAGCGGCCTGGACGGAACTTCCACGATGCGGGCTTGTAGCGTCCCATACTTGTCCTTCAAGGTGGGAAGGATGATGCCCCCGAGCATCTTCTGGTCCGACAGGTAGCCCAAGAGAATGGTGGACAAGGGGATTAGCACCGTCCAAGGAATTGACTTGCCACGGACTTTCGGGGCATACTTCACAAGGCCCAGCAGCAACGCGGTGACGACCAGGAACAGAATTGCTGGAGCCTCAGCTGAAACAGAAAGTATTTCCGGGTTTTCCAACTACTGGGACCCACCCCATCGACGGAAATCCGCATCTTGCTGGGCCAGAAATAATAGCTGTTACCTAAGGTTTTCCAATCTTGGCTGGTTTGTTCTGAAGACCATCCTTTGCCAAGACGCCAAGGAGTAGCCATGCATCGCTTCAAAGGAGCGCATGACATTCTCGTAGAAGTGCTCTGACTTGGGACCGTTTGGTCGCAGGTCCATAGCCATTTCGAGCTGGCCCAGGCCAATGATGAATGCCACCGCAAGCGTGAATCCCTCGAAGACAGCAGTGGGCATGAGGAGAAGGTAGCGCTGCAATCCCAGCAAGTAAATCGAGCAAATGATGGCCGAGGAGACAAGGGAGAGGTAGGGCAGAACTCCAGCCCCTCCGAACTTGATGGTCGCGCTGTTGAGCATTCCGCTCAGCGCGCCCGCAGGCCCAATGATGTTGAAGTCGCTGGAGCTGAACATTGACGCACAAAGACCACCCCAGAAGGCTGTTGACACACCCATCAATGGAGCTGCAGGGTCTCCCCCCGACACCGAAGCAATGCCCAAGGAGATCGACAATGGGACACTGACCTCGGAAGAGGCTGCACACGCATACAGCGTAGGCACAGACACCATGCAGGTAAGATATCTACAGCTACCTTTTGTTTGGCCTCAGCATTCACGGGTGACCCCGTCCCCCCCTCAATGGTCCCTTATATGGCGCATGAAAAACCTACATGGTCCTGTGGTCCTGTGGTCTAGGTATGGTGGTTTAACTCAAAGGACTCAGAGGTTTAGATTAGGTTTATAGAGGCTTATAGTGCTGCAACAGGCCCAAAATTTTATCCCCAGATATCTTTAGCTGGAAATACGATCTATGTTACAAAGCCTGCCTCAACTGAACATGCTACGCAGGCTCCACAAGGCAGGAGAACTAGCCTCCCGAGCCTGCTGCAATTTCAATGTAAGTCAATCAGGCATTTAAAGAAACAAGGGGGGTCCCAAATATCATGAAATACTATGATCTTTATGAAGCCCTGGGCGTGCTGAAGCAACCAAGCCCTCCTCTAGCGCGGGTACTTTCCACTCTGCAATTGCCATGCACAAAACGGCTCTCAGGTAAGAGCAGCAAGGAAATTGAAACATTGGCTTTCACCTGCATCCGCGCGAAAAACAAAAAAACGAACGCGGCCATTTCGCTCCCAATGAAGACAGGTCCAGAGCGCGTCCCAAATCACATTGCAGAGTTGCAAATAGCGAACGCAGCTATATGGGGAGAACTTTGACGGTCTTTCTCTAACCCATGATCAGAACTTATACTGCAGCGCAAGCATAGCAAACGTATGCGCCCGCTCTCTGTGTTGCGACAGGGTTTACGGACAATAATGCCGTGTCGGAGGCCGGCATGCTGAAACAAACGCACACATGCAAGCCTCTCCTAAGAACACATGGTAGGCGACCACAGGAAGTAGTAAAAGGCAGCATCAGCATCTTCCTCATCTCCACCAAAGTAGCAAGTGAAACCTGCATGTTGAATATAAAGAATCAGTTGCTTCCATGTTCCTTTCCATTCTCCACATATAACCCCAATATACTATAGTAGTTTCCATTTTCTTTTCCATTATCCCCATAGGAAAGCTCCCAGAGAATTTCAAAAAGTCGTAGAGAACCACCTAAGGCTCTGACCATGGCTACGGTTAGTCCAGATTGCCAATTGTCCATCAGCACGCGGTGAATTGGCTGGTACCCCAAGCCTGGTCCAGAAAGAGGGATATCAGATGGGCTGCTGGGGACGCTGGGTATATATATAGAGAGAGAGAAAGAGGGGGAGAATACAAAGAGATTCTGGAGGAGTCTGTGGGGATTGTTCAACGAGAATCCCAGATTCTAGATACGGGCAGTTCCCAAAATTAGAGTCCCATATTAGTACACATGAATATGAGGTACCGTAACACAATCTTGAACCAAAAGGGGCCATAATGTTGAAAAACAAGTCATATAGCCGAGCTCGTCGTCTGAGACCAAGCATGTCTCGAAGGGATTTGAAAGCTAAACTTACCAAGGCTTAGTAGTGAACATGAGTAATGTTTTTTTGGTGGTTGAACCTAGTAAGATAATATTCCTTTTATAAAATACTATACCCAAAAGGAGGATATAATCTTCCTCTATATTGGGTGCCATAGTATCCCCAAATAAAATACTACTCATATGGGAATATGATCCCTCTATAGTCCCTGTATGATATATTCCCTTATTCCCTATTAACTTCCAGTAAGTAAAACAGGAAAATTCACTTACCACAATGAACCTAGGAGCGTGTCTTGAGATGGCACTTCTTTTCCTCCACATTGCGCACCTGGCATTAAGTTTAGGGTTTAGGGGTTTAGGGATTTGGGATGTAGGGTTTAGGGATCAGGGTTTAGAGGTTTAGGGTTTGGGGATTAGGGTTTCGGAATGATGTCATGCAGAGCTTATCATGTGTTCGATTCAGGCTGTTTTCCATGTGCCTGGATTTAGCAGTCTTAGTATTACGATCATTACTATCATTACTACTAGTATTATTGCTGCTCTTATAAGTTTTGATACCATAATTATGATGATCATTACTAGTGTTTTTATGATTACTACGACCATCAATATTAATATTATTAGGCACCTTGATTGAGTCGGAGGCCGTTTCCACTGAATCCACATCAGGCTGCATCTTTGGGCTAGCAAGGGTTGAAACTCAGGGCCGCTCACTACCAAAACACGGCTGCGGAGCGCAGTTTCCGAAGCAAATCCTACCAACTGCCTATAACAAGCAATAAATAAGAATGATAGCAATAATAGTAGTAAAAATATGGGTAGTCATGACAAGAATAGGAACGAAATCAGAATAATAATAACAATAAAAATACATGCGCCAGCGGGCAACCGAAGATCCAGACGCGAATTGCAAGCTTTTTGATCAAAGCCCGCTAGGGAGATCTTGTTCTTGCCAGTCTTTGCCTTCTGGGGCCTCAGCGTATCCAGAAGCAAGCGTACCCAAATCTCGACCGTGCCCCAGTCAAGAACTCAGCCAAAGAGCCCTGAAGTGCAGCCTAGCAGCGGGTCAACGGCCGTTGCCAGGGAGGTGGCTGGTGGAAGCGCGGGGGCACTCGGAATAGGCTCTGGAGCTTCTGTCGCCGGTGGATTCGTGTTGGCGGGCGGGGCTCGCACCTTGCATGGCTCTACACCTGCTCAGTGTATTCTGCACTCTGCAACCTACCAAGACCTCTTCTGAAGGCTGACAGGCAAACCAACGCCACGACTGCATTGATATGACCAAGGAGTTGGCTAGGCCCGGCTAGGCAAGGTGTCCGCTGAACCTGACGACTCCTGACAAGAGCTGCCGCTCCTTATCCGTGAGGGTTCCTTCACCCTGACCTGCCTATGAAAGCGATGGTGGCCCCTGCCACAAAAAAAACATCCCGCTGCTGCTCACGAACCCAAGCCCAGCAATACCCAATACTCAATGTTGCTAAATGTCTTCTGCAATTGAGAAACAAGCTTGCTTTTAGGGCTAAGAGGGTTTCGATGTGAGTCGGAAGCGCTTATCCTGCTCTTCTTTTTATATCGTCAAGGTGCGGTTCAGGGTGCCCTTTAAATACCTTGGCTTGGTCTTCATGCCCATTGTCGGCCTGATCTTAATCTAGAGTCAACCCTCCAACTCCCCTGGACCCGCAAACTCTCCCAAGGAAGAATTACTGGAAGGACCAAATTTGTTGATACCTTCATGTGCGGACATGTTGCTGCTGCTGGCGGGGCTGGCTTGCTGGACTGGGATGGCCTCTCTTGGAATTCGCACCCTACGGGGGCCGAGGTAGCACAGGGGGAGGGGGCCCTCCTGCTTTTCTCACCACCATGCTTTCTAGGGGAAGGGATGCAGACAAATTCTTCGAAGAGCTTGCTCCAAAATAGAAAGGATACACTGCGGGTGAGATGATGGGAGAAGACTCAACATTTGTGCATCTCCAACATGCTGGGGTCCCTAAACCTTCGACCCTAAACCCTAAAACCCCGTAATCCTGAACCCTAAATGATTCCTAAACCTTTCACCCTGAACCCGAAGTAAAAACTAAACCCTGATCCTTAAGCTCTATTGTAAGTATTGCATGTTGTGATCTCGGCCGGGGGCGCGCGTGTGTCTTAACACCCAAGTGATCAGCCTCTAGATCAAAGTCGCCATGACAGCACTGACCACATGGATGTGAGATACAAGTATAACATGAGGGCTTCCAAACATTAAGAAAATGGAAACTACTATATTATATAGGGTTACATAGCGGGTAGTATAGGGGTTATATAGGGATAATGGAAAAGAACATGGAAACTACTATGTTATTTAGGATTACATAGGGGAAATAATATAGGGATTATATAGGGATAACGGAAAAGAACATGGAAACTACTATGTTATTTAGGATTACATAGGGGAAATATAAGGGTTATATAGGGACAATGGACAAAAGAACATGGAAACTACTATGTTATTTAGGGTTACATAGGGGTAATAATATACGGATTATATAGGGATAACGGAAAAGAACATGGAAACTACCAGGGATAACGGAAAAGAACATGGAGACTACTATATTATCAAGGGTTCTGTTTGGGGGCCCACATTTATGGAAACCACCATAATATGGCAGCAACCCTTTGAGCCTGAGAAGAGCCCTGAAACCCGCGGAGGCCATGTTCCAGGACTTACTATTGGGATAATGGAAAAGAAAATGAAAACTACTATAATGGTGTTATTTAGGGCTTAGGATTTAGGATTGGGTTTGTATAGATAGGGATATAGGAGGAGAAAATGGAAACTACTATAATATATTGGGGTAATCGAGGGAATAATGGAAAACAACATGGAAACTACTAATTAAAGGTAGTAGGGAAGATCGGATAAGGAACCCTATATAATCCCTACATTCGTTAAAATATGTATTCCCTTATTCCCTACGAAGCACCAGTAGATTGAAAGATGGCACTTGTTGACGGTTGAGACATGCAGCAAGCCTTGAAGGCATCGTCACGCATACATACACCTACAACTAGAACTGCACATTCATATAGACACGCTTGTAGACGCATAAAGACAGACGTGTATATAGCTGTGTATATGGGGTCGGGAGAACCGGGTTGAACCGATTCGCCCGAACATAGAAACAGCTGATCAGGCCTGTCAGCTGCTGGACGCGAGGTACCCGCTGCACCATCCTACATTGGGGGCTTCCGGAAATAGGGGGTTCCTTTTTGGGGGTCCGCATGATAAGGATCATAATAGTTTGGGGTCTGTATTGGGGTCCCCCTGTTTATGGAAACTACTACAGAGAGGGCGGGCTGACCGATGTAGCCTTCTGAGGGCCCCGTGTCGGGCTTGGGGCTGAGCCTTTTGTGGTTTGGGATGGCTAGGGGCTTCCTGAATTTGTGAATGCAGTTCTCGAGAATCGCCATCTTCAAGATCTTCGAAAATGCAAGCCCCTAAGGTCCGGTATCGCGATCTATACTTCAAGGTCAACAAGCAATTACGGGTGCCAAGTGAACACGTACCAAATGAGCTTTAGTCTAAACCCCTAGCATCCCATGAGTCACCCCGGTAGTACTCCCCTATAGAATCCCCTATATGGTAGTTTCCCAAAATTAGGGTACCCTAATATAGACCCCAATATACTACAGTCCTTATTATTGGGGCCCCCAAAAAGGTACCCCTAATTTTGGGATTCCCCCGTGTAACACGCTTTAAGGGACGGCCAGAAGGCGGAGTCCCTTTTTTTGTCCGGATCATTCCTTTAAGGAAGTGTATTCTAAATGGTTCCTTTCTTTACAACAATCCCATAAGAGTAATAATGGTAATTATAGTAATAACAGTACTAAGAGTACAAATTGTCATAATTGCAAGAATAGTAGTAATAATAATCAATGATTCCTTTCTTTACAACAATCCCATAAGAGTAATAACAGTAATTCTAGTAATAACCGTACTACTAGTACGACTAGTAATAATAGCAATAATAATAATAGGAAGAATAGGAAGAATAGCAATAATAGCAATACCCAGGTCCAGAAAGTGAGGGCCTTGGCTGACTTCGCCTCATTGTCGCTCACTTGCTTTGTGCTTTTGCTGCTCTCAGAAGCCTCCTTTCCTCAGCTGTGTGGTGTATATTTCGGTTGTTAAACCCAGTAAGATTATATTCCTTCTATAAGATACTATACCGCAAAAGGAGGATATAATCTTACTCTATATTGGAGACCATAGTATCATTCACGGATAAAATACTACTCAGCTGCTGTCTACTTGGAGGCCTGCGGAAACAGTGTTTGTTACAACTCCTGAAGGGGGGTTATGTAGGGGATTATATAGGGGACTACTATAGGGATGATTATGGGGGATACTAGTCTAGTAGTCTAGACTATAACCATCTTGGAGTACCAAAATGCCACTCATCAGCACAAAGGACACTACAATTCAACTCTGGCTGGTTATTTCCCATCCTCCAAAAGCAGGCGAGATATCCTAATAGACGGCTGGCGCCCCAGTGTGGGACTAGAGTGCCAGCAAGGCTCCCTTGGCATCAGATGGTATCTTGGAACTTGCTGCAATCTTTGCCTGGGCTGCTGCTAAGGAACTTGCATTTAAGTTATCATAATGGGTATGGACGTAAATCAAAAAATAGGACTTCCCAAAATATTCTATATAGTGTAACGTAACTTAAAATCCTTATCAGCAACCCAGCTGCATTCTTGGCATCTTTGGCATCCTTGGCATCCTTCGCATCTTTTGGATCCTTAGCATCCTTGGCATCTTTCACCTCCGCTGCTTTCCCTGCGTCTTTTGCAGAATCCTTGGAAGCGTCGGCCTCATTCACGCTTTTGGTAGCCTTAGTGGGCTTCGATTCCTCCTTTTCCTGGGCTGCTGTTAAGGAACTTAAATTAAGTTACCACAATGGGTATACAAAACAGACAAAAGGCTTCCCCCAATATAGCGTAACTTAAAATAAATTCCTTAGGTGAACCCCCCACCCAGTAATAGTGACTATTATGGATAATAAGGATTATATTAGGGCCGGGTCCTCTTATAGTCCTATTATACCACTATTACAGGGTGGGGGGTCCTCCTAATGAATTCCTTAACAGCAACCCAGTTTCCTTTGATGCTGCGCTGGCTTTGCTGTCAGCTTTGGGAGGCTCTTCTGGCCTACATGGCCACTGCCTTGATTTATAGCCCCCCCCCTTGAATAGGTAGAATATGGAATTCGCCAGAACCATAATAAGATCCCCATATACCCGAAATTCTATCTACTTAAGGGGGATATGTACAATATGCCACATACTACTTTTTGCCACCTACTACGTGTTTTAGTAAGTCCGAACAAACGTGTAGCACAAGCAGCTGTCATGATCTTTCCACTGGTGTCCATCCTACTTGGAAACAACAAGTACAACTCCAACAAGTGGCACTGACAACAATACTGGCACCTGTATCCGCGATTGCGACAATAGCACTGACAAAGATTCAAGGCCTTTGTGGAACTTCTCATCGCTTCAATACTCCCCGTCCGCTACTAATTCACCCATCACCACCAGCCTAATAAATAGTACCCCGCACTATATGATGGTACTGTATTGGGCTTTCGCCATCTTACTAGGGGGGCGGGTGGGGTCATTTTTTTACGGGGGGAGGGG